CGTGGGCACGACCCCCCCAGCAGCCCAGGCTGCCCCCAGCCCCATCCAGCCTGGCCTTGGGCACTGCCAGGGATGGGGCAGCCTCAGCCAGGGCCTCACCCTTACGTGCACTGGACACTTCCCCCCCGTCTCCCTTCTTATTTTACATCCCTTTTTGGAGGAAGTCAAAGTTCAATTAACAATCAGAGCCAATGTCTCAAAGGTATGGTAACTACCGCAGCTCCTCCAAACAGAAGGATAATTTCCACAACTGAAGAACAAAGCAAGGCACCACCTGCTTTAACTCAGTAGGGGCCAATTTAAATTTATGAAAACTTTACAAGATTCTGCGTTGGCAAACAAGGGAGTATTATGGTAAGGTACTATCAAATAGAGCCTGTTTAAAGACAATGGCAGTATACTACACTTCAGTGACACGGTTCCATGGGCATTTCTGAACAAGGCCTAGCAGGCCGCGAAGCACCAGAGCCGAAATTGGACAAGAGGAACCAGAATATGCTGCCTGACCTCAAGCCTGCAGGATTCCTTGTTCTCAAGGGCTCTCTTCAAAAGTTGCAAAACAAATTTCTGAGTAATAGTATAGCTGGGTTCTGGTTTTTGTTGTTGTTGCTTTTTTATTTTATTATTATTATTTTTAAATCAGTAAGGATAAACATCCTAAGATGGAGAGAACAACTTGTTTCCTGAAAAATAAAAAGTAAATCATGTGCCTTCTTTTAATTCCATCTTTCTAATAAGGTTACAAGTAACAAAATCTTTAGTGAAGCAAGCTTGATTAGCCTAAGTCATGAACACAGTTCATATTCTTCTGAAAAAATGTCAAATTCCAAATTGCACAATAATCCAATTCCTGCAGAAAACAAAAACAAAAAACCAAAATACGAACGATTAAGTAAAAGCCTAATACTATTTTGAAATACATCAACTGTCACCATAGATCATTTAGAAATATCATGAACATGTTCTAAATAAGCACTTAACAAAAACAATAATGAACATGTAGCAAAAAAATAACAAAAATCCTTTGCACTATTGACAGAAAATTTCATTTAAATATTAAAACTAGCGTAAAATATCTAGGCTTTGTTTTGTTTAATTTTGAAAATACCTTATAAGAAAACAATACTTGTAATTCCATCCACAGGATTCTACAAAACTGCTGCTTCATTCATCAAATCTTTGAACCGTTTCAATATGAAAATTCCAATTTTTCAAATTACTTAAAAATCATTGCAGAGAATTTCCAAGCACTTGAATTAAAGCACAACCAAAGTATGAAGTTGGTACATTTTTGCAATTAATTCTAAAATAAGTTAATTTACATAAATACTCTCAAAATAACACAATGGGATTCAACTTCATTTTAGACATTTGGAAAGCAGTGTCATACTTTATTTAAAATAAACCCATGTAAAAACAAAGTTTAAATGAAAATGGTACCTGAAAAATAAATTATTTGATATAAAACAAATCAATAACTTAAAAACACACTAAATATACAAAATGTTTAACCATATACTGTACAGTATGGAAAACAATTGATAAAACCTTCTGTCCCACAAACAGATTAATTTATAAACAAAAGATTACATAAGTTAAGGGAAATGAAATCAATAAAAAGACTAGAAGTACAGTATTATTCAAAGTTACTGGTCAAATAAAGGTTTATACCAACTTATGTTTCAAATGTCTCACGTCATTTTCTTCTCAATGACCAAGTGAAAAAGTTCAGCTGTACCACTGAAAAATTGCTCAAAAATGTTTAAAAATAAGGAACAATATGAGAATAAAGGTTCTAAAATGTGAACGCTACCAATTTTTTGAGGTTTCAGGTGGCAGTGCTACTATTACTGATTTTCCATCATCATCAACAAAATAATTTAGTGCTGAAAATTCCACTCAACAGAAAAATATTTCTAGTTAAAACCTTTGAAATCTTTTACCAAGTGTAATATATAATAAATAACTGCAGCAAGACTGAAGAAAACAATAATGGATTTGAAGTGAAATCTACTCACTGGGTATGGTGTCTTGTTTAGAGATCATAAAGGCTTCAGCTGGATTTTAAATCATGCAGAAGGAAAAACCAACACCTATGGTTTTGTTTAGGTTTGCTACTTAAGACTATCACAAAAAAGCAATCACAAAACCAGTGCTGTAACTGCTTAACCTGGGAGCATGTATTTTCAGGAGTTAATTATAATTTTCATTTCTGCTGGCTGTGTCATGGAGAAGTTGCACATGACAGGGGTACCACCTCTTACCAAGTAAGACTGCATCCCCTTTCATGACCAGCAGTTTTTATAAAATAGAAAACTAAAAATGTATAATAAACATATAAAGTCAATGCTAGCCTTTTGATTTTCATATTTATCATTTTATCATGCGAGCATTCAGCACTCAGAAGTGCAGAGAAATTAGAGGAATTTGCCTAAGGGACAGAAGACAAATTTTTGCCTCCAGATACAAAGATTATAGCACCTAGGGTGACAATATCGGGTTTTGGGAAAAATAAAAAAATAAATAAATAAAAAACAAACATAACTCCACTAAGAGAGCCAAAGGGAGCAGTGTTCTCTTATGCTAAATGTGGATTTGGTCCCTTCACTCTAAAGCTATTCTTAGGAGCCTAAGAGGCGAAACGTCATCACAAGGTGCTTTGCTGACAGTGTTACAGAGGACAAACCTCCTCCGTTTGCAAGTCAAAATATGGTAGGTTACCTTCTGAGAGAGGTAGCACTAGGACAAACAGATCCGTATTTGAGCTTTGTGACTGAACCAGGGGAACACCATCAGTAGTTCGCAAAAAGCCATGTGTTAAAAACCTCCCACATGTCCTTCCATTTTTTCAGGTAGATTTTGTTTTTCCAGAGAACGTTGTTTCAAGAAGCCGTTTCTTTTATTTTTACCATGTTTACTTTGTTAGAAAAGTTGACGTGGGGATATTCTCAATGTGTTTTTTAAAAGCACAAATGCAACTACAAACTACCCAAGAAGTTGCTTTAGTTATTCTGGTTTAGAATATACTGAAAAAGAAATCTCTCCTGAAATATTTGAAGAATCTCTATTTTATTGACCTAACCCAGAACATTAAAGCAAAGTAAAATTTTAATGGCTGTTTAAGGACTCTAAGGACTAATCATTTCCAAAACTTAACATTCAAAATATTCGATCTTAGTTGTAACTGCTGAACATCCTTGCTGTAGGTGTAGGTATGCCAGTTTATTGCAAGATTCCAAATCGCTTTGTATCAACGGTATTACTACAGAATTTAACACCTCTGCAAAAATTGGTGTCCTCTCCGTGCTGATATCCATCAGTCCTTTGGACCACCACAAGCGACCATAAGCTGGCCAACTGACTGCAGTGAAAAGTTTGTCCTATTTTAGCGACTTGTGTACCCCCAAATATTCAGTGTTTTTCGTATTATGACACAGGTGTACTGAAAAAAAAACATAACCAACCAAAGGGAAGGAAAGGGCTGTGCAGACACACTGCTAGGGGGATGCTGCTCTGGACAGTGATGTTTCCTGACTTCTCCTCCCACCCAAAAGGACGGATCCTTAAGGCCTTCTCAGTCCCAGACCTAGAGCAGAAGCGAAGGGATGGGCACAGCAGGCAGCAGCTGCGGGGGCTCGGGTCCCCTCCCTCTATGCAGAAGAGTGGAGCACAGATACTCAGGTAAACCAAATTTATGATGGCGTGGCTCGAAGAACAAGAGCTCAACACTTTAGTGTACAGACACTGTCTAGAATGGAATCACAAAAACTAGAAACTCTATGCTGCTTTGAGTCTGCTCATGTTTAATAGCTTTTCTGGTGTTGCCATCCCCTCTTTTGAAGGAATTGTATTCGCCTCTTCCAGCTTACATAAGCTGCACAGCAACATCAGAGTTTCCTTTTCTGTATTTACTGTGAAATTTCCCTATGTGCAAATTGTTAACAGAATGTTTAAACAGTGATTAGGCTTGTGGCTAGCTTTCTGCACAGGGCTGAATTCCATTCATAGTGGAAATCTGGGAAGCAAGTGTAAGTTACTGAGCAGGAATAAGAACTTATCAATAAATCAACAGGCTGGAATAGACTAGTGTATAAAGCCTTCAAATAATTTTAATTTTGATACATTTTTTTTTTTTATTAATGTTTCTACTTTTTTATTTTTATTTTTTAAGTTTTTATTCTGCATAACACAACTAAAGCCCCAAACATCTTTCAGAGTTTTGAAGTGGTCTAAACCACCATCAGGTCAGTTCTGTTCTGAACTAGACATTGTCTCATTTTAGAGTGAAACTCCACAGTCCTGCGAGGAATGCAGACCGCTCCTGCGCGGCTCTGGAGGCAGCCCCAGCAGAAGCTCGGCAGCCATGCTCTGGCCTGGTTCCTGCACTGCCAGATACAAGAATTAGGGAAAAAAAAAAAATAAAAAATGGAGAAATGGATAGATGCAAAGAAAGAGAAGGGAAGTAGAGCTTCCCTTTCAAAAGGGAAATAAGAGATTCTAAAGCTAAAGGTGCCGAAGCAACAGTTCCAGCCATTTAGCTGGTAAAATTTCCAGAGGTTCTGAAGATGCTTGTCTTAACAAAGCCCTGAGGCCTGGTCAAGTCCCGATGTACAATCCTGCCCTCGCTCAGTGAGCCTTTTCATTGCTGCAGAGGCCAAGCCAAGGCTCAAAGGTGAAGATTCGCAGTGCAAATGAGATGGCTGCTGCCCAGCGAAGTGAAACCCCAGCAGGACTCATCTCCTGGACAAATGGAAAAAGCTACAGCAGCATGGGCTGTTTTTTGCTGAAGTGCTAAGCATCCACATGCAGAAAAAGTTCTTTTTACAAGAGCAAATTGTTTTGCGTGCAAAGCAAACAAGTCCATTTGAAGATAAAGCCCAGCTGAAGCATGGCAATACATCACTGAGCTTCTCCTTTGTATCCCCAGCTGGGAGATCCTCAAGCTGAGGGTACCCCGACTATGACATTGATGAAGACATCCAGCCCCCAAGGCTCCCTCCTTTTTTTTTTTTTTTTTTAATCCTGAAGAGATGCAGATAAACCTCACTTTGTCGTCATATTCACCAGCCTGATCAAAGCGTATTGGGGAAGTGGTGTCATCCAAAATGCAGGTGCGTGAAATCCAGATTAAGCCCTTCAGAAATCCTGGCACCAAGAACACATCACCAGCCTCGGAGACACCATAATTCTCTTCAACATCCACACACAAAACACTGCAATAGAAGCATGGACAACTATGTGTTGTCACCAGGAACGATACCTGAACCTGCTGAAGTAACTGCGGGCACCCTGCGATGCTCCTCAAAGCCCACAGAGCACTCCCATAGCAGCTGTGCCCTGTAGCACATCTCCAGCATGGATCATCAAGTCCAGTTCTTTAGAATCTGATCATAATGTACTAATCTGGTCATCAAGACTTTTGAGTATTCTCCACCTTGTTGAGCCTACTGCATCTCATGAGAAAGGTAAACAAAACTCTGGCTTGAGACTGACCCTTTGTATGACAAAGAAAGATCTTGTAAGGCCAGAGATAGAATTATCAGCTGAAAGGAACTTCTGTATCTCAAAATAAATCAATAAGTAAACTTGCACTTTTCATCCTTTAAACTCTTTACTCCCTGAGGATTATGGAGACAAAATCACTTTGGAAATGGGTAAAACCAGGCATTAGCTTGAAAGAATGGCATGCCAGATGATAAGAAAACCCAATTGTTCTTACCTTTCTTCTTACCAAAATCGTTGACAGATTACTTGGTACTGGGGTTTAGTTTCCACTTCCTGAAGTTTCCTTTTGCTCTTTACTAATCCAATGCGTAAGTTATTGTTTAGGTCTAAAAGCATCATAAATACATTCACTTTTTTCTTGATTTCTACTACTTATGCCAAATATTTATTGACTGTGAAAATGGTGCAATGAACAGACCATGCACTTCTTCCACCATCAGCCCTTGATATTTAAGTAGGATATTTCGGTAGGATATTTCTTTCCCTTTTTACTGACTCAAGGAGCTGCACTCTGCTCAGGTAAATGGCCTAGCAGCTGCTTTCAGATCAACTATCAAAGGCGCCTGGGATCAGATGTTTCCTAAAAGAGAAATTGCCATACTGCTACTAACAGTATCCCACATTTCTATCTTATTTAGCAAAGGAATAGGAGATGGAAAGATGGGGAAGCAGTCAGATGACACTAGAAGCCTCCAAGAAAAGTTAAAATAAGTGAATGTGACATTTGGTGAGCTCACAGTAGCGTACTGCTGATACACGCCTGTAATAACTGTAGATGCAAAGTCATATTCAGGGTGTCATTTATTGCAAGTCTGATCTCAATCTAAATCCTCTAATAAAGCAGCAGCTCCCATTTAGTTAGAAAAATGATCTTACATGAAATAAGGCAAGAGAGAATTACAGGAAATTGGAAACCATTTCAGACTCACTCCGGTGGAACAGCGGAGTATTGAGGTTAAGAGGTGATGGGACACAGTAAGGCTGCTCTATACTATCCAGTTGGAACTTGGGAGAAATCCCAACAATGCTTCTGAATCTCTTCTTGTACACCAGAAAAGGATCCATTGAAGTGATAAATAATGATAAATCAGTGGAAACATCTGGAATAGACAGCCCAGAAGTGGCTGGCAGACAGCATGCTTGGGGCGAGGAGTCATTCGGTCGCAGTTTTACAGACCACCACCATACTGTCCCAAATCTCAGGCTGCCCAGGTGTCTCAGAAGACGAGAGAGCTAACAGGACTGGCAGGAGTGGCAAGGCAGAATATGTTAATGGTAGAACAACACTTAAATTCATTGCATACAAGCTCAAAAACAGTGGGAGGAGGCTGAGCACTATGCCAAAGCCTATCCATATTCCTTCAGGCATGCCACAGACAGTTCCAGAAGCATAGCAGCAGTGGTTCCTAGACAGTGCTAAAGGTAATTAACAATAGCTGGGCAGCTAAATCAGCTGCTCTCCAGCTGGGGTGTGCAGAGATGCTGATGCAGACTTCTTTGGGCTGCACAAGCCCGCCGGTCCTGTTGCAGGAAGAAGAGAAGCGATTGCCATTGCAAGGCAAGGTCAGCTAGGGATGGAAACGATACAAGCAGGCAGCACGGATCAGCCTCAGGAATGCAAAAACAAGCTCTGGGACTGGCAGAGGTTCACACAAAAAAGAGACACTGCAATAGAACTGACCCAATTTTCACATTTGCCCTATTTTTTGGCAACTGAACATAACTCACAGCCCTGAGAGCTGCCCAAGCTAAGTCTCTAGTCATGCACAGTATCCTTACACAGCCTTTACCTGATAGAGTAATCCTCCTCGGGTTTCCTACCAAAGAACACCTGTAGGGTTACATCAGCCTGTGGCACGTAGTTTCTATGTGACAGGTTTATTGTAGTGCTCTCGTTTCACAAACCTTTTTCTTCTACTCATCTGTCAAAGGAGTAACTTAAGACTCTTTAAAGAAGGACTACAGTTCTTTAAAACAACACCCTTTGAAAGCTGGACACTTTGTGCAATACTTAGCAAAAAAATAACAGAAAATAAAAAACAAAACAAAATTTGAGCAAAACAAAATCAAATTTAATGTTCTTAAATGCAAAAGTAAAAACAAACAAAAAACACAAAAAAGCAAAAGAAAATTAACAGAAACAGAACAACTCAAAGTTTCAAGGCAGTCTGCAGAAAACTTGGGGGATTAATCTTTAAATCTACAAATCAAAGGGTTTTTTTGTTAATATCTAACTTGCAAGTCGTAAGTACTTTTCTGCTGAGTGTTCAATAAGTAAAGCTAGTTGTCAAAACAAAATCCTATTAAAATAGAAAAATCTAGCACTCATTAGAAGGGATGCGAGAAATACAATGCTCAAATGTTTATAAATGTTTTTTCTTTACAAAACAGAACTACCAAAGGAATTCAGACTATAATGATCTTTGAAAATGAGTATCTTGCTGCATTATAATGTACCAGTAAGTAGTGCACCATGCATTAAATATTTGGACAGAAGAGATTCAGTTTGATAAAGTAGCAACATATATTCACACTTTTTTGGAGTTTCATTTTGACTCTGAAATCTTCCCGGAGTTTCTGTGAAACTCTTTGGTCCATTCCTATTAGAAAGTGGGCTTTAAAAGTAATGTTTCTAAAACCTTTGAATTTGACAACTTGGCCACTGCTCAGTGTGCAACTTACCTCATCAATGGTGTTAAAAGTTATGCTGGCATGCTACTACTTACAAGACCTTGACTTTATAAAGCCTAATCCTCAACTATATGTAGCAATGAATATTAATTGATAAAGCAAATTTACTGTCAACTAAAACATTAGTATTTCTCAACTTTTCTTCCATACTAGTGAGTCTGGGGTAAAGAAGGTCAGGGGAACGGGTAGGAAAAACAACAACATGAAAACAAGAAAAATTAATTAATTCAGCCTGATAGCTTTAAAAAGATTCCAGTTTTTGCAGACAACATTCAATGGAACAAATGTTAGTCTCATAAGTGAAAGCATGCTTCAATTTTACCACCATCCAGAGGGTCTAGTTAAATGCAATCTACTTAAGATTTCAGGGGATTTTTTTTTAACATGTTTTAAATGAAATAACTTAAAGTAACTTAAAATTGGTCTAACATTGTGGGATTTCAAACATTTGAACATGTCAGTTGCATCCCAGAATATAAAACCTTTTTCACTTCTCATTTAGACTAAGACAAACACTTGTGAAAATTGGCGCAAAATGAGTTTTACACTAACAAAAATGTTTCAACTTCTGTCACTCAATTATCTATTCCATACAAAAAGCACGAGCAAGTTATTTGTGGGACTTGTTGGTTTTGAAGGAAACCTGTAAGATTTTGTCCCCCAGGCGGTAGCCATTAAGACTTGCTATGGCCATTGCAGCTTCTTCATAGTTTGTCATGGTCACAAAACCAAAACCTTTGCACTTGTTGGTGTTGAAATCTCGAATAACTTTCACATTGGTAACCGCACCAAAGGGGCCAAACATCTGCCAGAGGATTCCCTCATCAGCATCTTGACCAAGGTTGTAGATGAAGATACACCAGCCAGAAGATGCGTTTCCTGGAACATTTACACCAGAAAGCCCACTCATGTGATCTACACCCATAGGAGAGAACCTAGCAAATAAAAAGCACAATATTTCATGTAAAAAGTTCAATTCAATTAAGCAAATTAACTTGAATGGGAAGCAACTGAGAATGAATATTTTCTACATGGACATCAAAACTGCCAGAAAAATGTTTACCCATTCAAATTAACAATAAACCAAATTGACAGCTGCCAGGAAAAAAAAAAAGTTAAGTATTCCAAGTACTTTTCTTTATCAATAGGGAACTATAATTAGAAATAGGCAGGCCACAGAACAGTTGCAAGGCAAGTTTATGTAATCACCTTCACAGGGGACCTGGATTGATCTCTGAAGCTCAGCTAGGCTGTTAAGAGCGTTCCGTGGCATCAATGCAGAATTGCTCAAATGTGAAGTAACAGGCAACACCTCCCCAGAGGCCCCAGCTCGCTTCAAGCCACCCTCTCCCATTTCTTTTGCTCAAGGGGGTTGCATCCAATAAGCCTCCTTTTCTTGCCTCTACAATAGCACATTGGGAACTCCTAAGTTAAGGGTTTTCTTTGGGTTTCGCTTAGGAATAGAGTTTGTGTGTGCATTAATTTCAATTACTTTCTGCGGAACAGAAGAAAACCTACTCCCTTCTCCACCATACGGCAGCAGGTGCAGGCAAACACTCCCAATACCAGCAGGCTACCAAGGAAGCCACAGGCATGCACACTCTCAGCTATTAGGTAGCCAAGGAGACATTAGCACTTCCTCAGTCAATTCTCGGTAGCTGGGATGCCCCACATTTCTAGCTACAGAATTCCAATTTTGGTTTATTATTCCTTAACACCAGTTATGCAGATGATCTAACTGTGGTAGCTTTCAAATATAAAAAGAGTGAACCACTTTAAAGTGTACAGTTTTAAAATTCAAGTATTTCTGGTTTTCTTCTTATTCAGTTGACACCAACTTCATACTCTGAAAACTCATCTGACTTTACTGAATTGGACTTTTTAAAATCACCTACCCGCTCTTCCTAAATCTAGCCCCCAGCTTAGTAGCCCAGCAGTAATTCTGATTAACAAAAAGCAAATAATTTTCCTTTTTATGTCTTGCTTTGTGTTCTTTTCTTTTCTCCTATAACCCACGTATCTAATTCTCCTTTCATCTTCTATTCCTGGACTCCATCCTAGAAATTCAAAGCTTTAGAACATTTCAATGCAATATTATGGTTGCACAGCTAAGCACTCAAGGGTCACAAAAATCATGTGGAATTTAAAGTAGAAAACCTCAGCTGGATCCCTTTTGCTCGTGTATTATTTAAAAATGTGAGGTCACATGATTGTAGAAATATAATTATACTATACCAGGGGTTCCCAAACTGTGGTGTACCACTCGTGATATGCAAACCACTTAAATGCGGTACACGTGCTGCTCTCTGCCAAGAACATGGCGGTGGCAGATCCTGATTCTCTGCTGACCTGGAGGAAACAGGGAATGGATATCTGGGCAGTGAACACCACTTTCAGTGCCAAGCACTTCCCCACTGACTTCTTCTTGCCCTGCATAAAGACAGGAGCTGCTCTTGCCTTTTACAGAGAGGAGAGGGCTCAAGGCAACGTGAATGAGAAGGAAGGGGAGCAGAGCTGCAGCAGCACACACATAGAGGCAGGGAAGTCAGCTCACGGTCAGTGTGGTGCTTAGGTGGGTGCACCCATACAAGAGAACCACTAGGTCATCGTCTCCCCCAGCCCAGGCTCCCCGATGCTCCAGGAGAGCTCACTTCTTTGGACACCTGAGCGAGCAGCCCCTCCTGTACCCAGAGGGAGCCTGCTGGTACAGACACCTTCCCCTCCTTTGCACTGTAGCTTCTGCTGGCTGCCTGGGGCCAGGAGAGCTGCCACGGCTCAGCCAGGCTGCAGCTCAGCTCCCTGCCTGGTGCTGGTGTTTCTAGAGCACAGTGCGGACACACCTGAGCTCATGCTGCACATACTCACTGCTGCTGCCACTGTTGGCCAGCCCCGAGCAAATCCAAGTTTGGGAATCCTTGTACTATAGTAAAACTGAAAAAGCAGTTAAGAGTATCAGAATGTGAATGAAATGTGCTAACCCATGTGATTTGATGATTGTGATATCTTATCTAGCGAGTGTTCGTTTTGCTTTTATGTGAAGATGTTCCTGTTTGCATGCTTTACACACTTGTTTTTTTTTCCCCAGACACCTTCAGCTCTGTTACGTCTTTCTGTTTGAGTAACGATCTATTTATGTTAATTCGTATCTGCAAAACGTTCATCTCAACAGATCACCAATCTTGGGTTCTTGTTCACATGTACAGGGAGCAGAAAAATCACTAAGCTCAGAACTGCGTGATGTTGGTTCCAGCAGACAGTGTAGGGCTGAACCTGCCCACTACGAAGCCTCGCGCTCTGCCCACAAGCCCAGATCAACAGGTCATCAAGAACTGAAGACAACTGTAGCAGAAGTGTTGGGGGTAGAAAGCAGGCAGACAATAAATCTAAAATACCTACTACATGCAAAATGATTTAAAATAGCGAGTTCCTCCTTTGAAGACACTAATTTTCCATTAATTTTCAAACATTCTCCTCTTTCAGCTTTTGACTTGCAAAATTGTTTCAGGTTTATTAAAAAAACAAGGTAGAGACACCCCTAAAAGACTTGAAAAGGCACTTGAAAAAAAAAAGGCACCAAACAACACCACCATAGGAAATACCACAACACAATCTCTCTTAACCAGATCTAACGTGACTCTAAAACAAAACTATACTTTGCAAATATACTTAAAAAAAGAACTTGCAGAAGTGTCAGTAAGCGTGCTACAGGACTAGACCTATAAAGAGACCTATAAAGAAGTCTAAATCTAGACTTGCATCCAGCCAGCAGAATCGCATAGCATCAAAGACCTCTGCCACTGGTGCCAACACTCACACAAGGAGCAGAGCTCCTGCTGTGATGCAGCTGACCTGCTCCGTCTCTGCTTACCCTGGACTAACAGCCTGACAATACGGGAGCCAGGAGATCTCGCAGCAGCCTGGGATAACAGCCTGGACCCAGCCTGGCAAAGAGCAGCGGACACACAGCACCTCGTTGCCCTACAGGAAGAGGGTTTTTTGACACAGCAATTTTAAGTATAGCTTTCCAAGGGTCATCTTATTAAGGATGTTGAGAAGACTAAGCCTGACTTAAATAGATAATACTTAAGTTCACACAGATGCAAGACACTTCAAAGAAAATTAAAAATACTTCATTAATATTGTTATTTGGATAACCTCAGCCTTTCAATTTTTGCTGGTATCCTCATTTTTGTTATATTTTTATATCATCTCCCTCATATTGTTTTTCCAACCCTCCCAGAGCATCTGTAAAAGATGTTATCTATGGCCGGTTCTTCTAAGTCAAACTTCCACCAACTTGAGACATTAAGCATCAACACAGTGTTAATATTTTTTATTTGTAAGCTTTTGCTTTGTAAGCTTCTCATTGATATGAATGCCTCTTCGCTCTACTCTTATGAAAGAGACTAACTCATTTAATACATTTTAGGAATCATTTTAAAGATACTAGAGTACATTATCTCAGAAGTGACGTTCTTAAACTAAAAATTTATTTTTAGTTCTACGGAAGTCCTATAAATTCTTTTTGCTGAATTCTTCTCACTGCAGTCTGAGAACAACTATATACAGCATCACAGGTGGGAGAAATCCCACTGCTTATATAACGGTAGTTAGGCTAATATTAAAAATTTCATTACTGCTAAGTTGCCCTTAACATAAGCTTGGCATTTTTTTTCCTGTTGAATCATTCCACAAATAACAGGAGTTAAACCAAACTGATACCGGTCACTTCCACGGTTTTCCCTCAACTTTTTTTTTTATATCCCAATACAGATAGGAAGATCTACTGTGTACAAAACAGGTCCTGTTGAAAATTAATTGATACGAACTTTAAGCCTGAAGTAACAGTGTATTTAATCCAACAGCCAAATTTCAAAGAGCAACACCAATTGAAATAAGGGCTTTCAGCATCACATTCTTCTAGAGCTTTGATGAAACACTACTCTGGACAAAGTCCTCTTCTGTGCGGTCCCCAGTCCATGTAAGATGCATCCAAGCTACAAATTGGATTACCATTGAAAATGTGAAGATAACTTCACTGAAGTGAAACAAAATAGATGCTTGGGAGCCGTCCAAGCACTGATGCCAGCTTAATAGTTTTCAAGGAGTTTGTGAACTGGATGTAAATGCTACCTAGCCATCAGAACCAGGACTCCTAACTGTTCTACCTCTGTGGTTTAAGGTCCTTACACCTACAAAATCCTCTATATTATCTAACAATACGGGGCTAAACAATGTAGACTCATTATATTTCCTATTGATCAACTATATTGATCAATATATTGATATATATATTCCTATTGATCAATTATATTTCCTATTGATCATATTAGACTCAAACCCTTGGCCCAGATGTTTTCATCTGCCCTCCAAGCACAGTTCCATGTTGCAGCATCATCTGTTCTGGATGGAAACAGAGAGGCTTTTGGACCACGTACCAGACTTAGGAGGCCAACTCAGCATGTCAGCGGGACAGGACACTAAGACCAGTTCCTGATGTGAGCCATAAGCCATAAATACCACAGGAACTAGAAAGGATTAAGAGACCATTAAGCAGAGGGTCTGAGTGATATCTGTAGGAAATTAATAATTACAAATTAGAGATACAAAAGGCTTAATCCTGGATTTACAGAGGTATGATGGAACAAGATGGAGTGTAATCAAAATGCCAGTTTAAAGTATTCAGCCTCTAAGTGGCAGTGAACACAAGTGCCATTTATACAGACTGAGCTGTCTGGAAGCAGCTTATCCTTTCACCGTACTTTGTTCACTCCAGAAAACAAACGAGCCCTGGCCCAAGGCAAGGTTCCTAAGTTTTACCACAGTATGAATAGTTACAACTCAGTAAGTTCAGCATCCTTTAAGGAAGGCTCACTAGAAAAGACTTGCAGTTAGCACCAAAGGTGGGAAGAAAAAAACAGGGCTGTGGAATGGTGGCTGTGTTGGGCACGTGTCTGAGGGGAGGAAGCATTTCAGTTCTTGCAAGTCTGTGACAAGACATTAAGAGAAACGGACAGTTCTTGTCTTGAAGTCAACTACTGAAGCTTAACCTCGTCTCCATAATGTATTCCTACATAACTCCTACATAACGTATTCCTTAACCCAGAATTGCTCTACTATTACCTCTGCCAACCTGCGGTACTGAAAAATCTCCACCAGCAAGCTTACAGCTGGGAGCAGAAGGTGACCAGAACATGTTGACGGATGAGCCCTGGGAACAGTCTGAGCTACCAAAGAGGCGATGGAACAGGAACACCATGTTTTCTTTATTCTTGGGAAAAAACACTTGTGAAAACCCTTGCCTGTGAAAACTTAGCGAAAGCACACTAATAAAATTAATGCTGCTCTTAATGGCACAAAGACTGATGAACAACTCGGTCATTACAATTTAGTTTCACCTGAACTATAACCAAACAATAGCCATTTTTACTAAGTGACCATTACATGACAGAATTAAAGTTATTAGCATTCACATTCAAAATAAAGATGCCATCTGCGCTGCTTATCCTGATGCACCTTAATTCTGCTGTAAAACTTAAGGGGAAGGACGATGATGAATACATCCCAATTATAGTACGGATTGAAAACGTGAGACAAACCAAGATTTTCCTAGGACCATGAAGCCTCTAGCCAACACAGCAGATAGATGTGCAAATTTTGGAACAGTTCACCTAACTGCCAATAATGCTTAATTTCATTAATTGGTGTGGCTTGGCAGGTTTGAGTGCAGAGATCTAGGTGAGTGCTTCAGTAAAACACTCTTATTTGAGGAGCTGCCTGCACTCAACTTGTTTGTGCTACAGTAGAAGAGAATCTCAGAACGCTTGAAGAGGGCCCGGACCTCTGGAGGTCCCCTGGTAAACTCGAGGCAAGGGGCACCCACAGCAGGTTGTGGTGGACAGGTTTTGAGCATCTCCAAGGATGCACTCCAGGCTCTCCAGGCAACCTATTCCAGGGTTCAATCACCCCCTACAGTAAAAGCTTTTTTTTTCTTATTTTTCCGGTAAGACAACAGCTGCCTGTGAAGTACTTATTCTCACTGGAGACACATTATGCCTAGCAGTTCTTAGAATGCACAGCTCTGCTGTGATCACAGCAAGACTGGATCAGAAGTACTGCAGAGGATTTCTTGAGCATTTTAGTCCAGATTTTGCTGAGCTAACCAGGTCTGAGGAGAAAAAAAAAAAAGTGTGAATTCTCAACAGGGCAAGACTACTCTCAGAAAATCTCCATGAACACACATTATTAAAAGAAGCCAATTACTTGTTTGCAAGATAGTAAATACAATGCATATTCCAGAGCACAGTCCGGCTATCAACATCCTCCTTTAGGCAACTAAGGCAAGTCAAATTCAAAGCAACTAAGGCAAATCTCTAAGGCAAAATGCACAGTATCTTATACCACGGCTCTGGAAGCAGACAGCATGCTGCAATTACCCAATAACCTTCCTGAACTTACAAGGACTTAAGGAAACAACACCACACAGCTCAAGACGGAGGTAGAAAACCCACAGAATCTTAATCAGAAAGTTTTCTTAACTTAGTATGACACCCCCCTGCTGGAACCAATGGTTCAGAGCTTTAATTAAGTTGCCAAATTGTATCTACATTCAGATAGATGGACTACAGAATGGGGATCTGTTGAGACAGGATCTGTGAACACCCATCTGGAACGTGCTACTTCATTATCTCACTACACACCGAATTGTAGAAATGCACACCTTGGTGTATGTACCTTCATGTAATTAGCTTTAATGCAAGTTTTACAAGTAAGATTTTACTTTAAACATCTTTTAATTCAACGATTTATTTACATAACACTGCAGGACACGTAGTGCACTATGTATTCATTCACACATGCTGCAACGAAGAGATTACTGCACAGCTGCAAGAGTACAGTTTCCCAGATGGACACGGGAATAGCAGTACAGCCTTAAATGCATTATTCTTCCTAACCTACCTGAATCTTTGCGCCTGGTGATGAACTGGCCCTCCAAACCGTCTAGCTGGTGAATGACACAGCTGCGATAACAGTGCCACATTTTTGTTCTGGTTAGGATTGGCTGCAAACTTCACTGTAATGGGTTCGGAGGAACCTGGGGGTTTGTGACCATTGAAATTTGTAATTGCCTCTTCTGCTTCTGACCTTTTGTCAAACCGGATAAATGCGACCCCTCTGGACAAACCTTTTAACCAAACCAATAAAAAAAAAAAAATGAAGTTCAGGATAAACTCAAAATAATTTTGAATGTAAAAACAAAATGGTTAAAAGTTTCTACGGTCACAGCTTTCAAGTTCTCTGCATTTACTAACGGTTCTTCAGCAGCTAGAGAATAAAGCACAAAATTAAGAAACAAAAGACAAATGAACACATTCATTTCAACTATAATTACTAGAGTGACTAACACTTATAACGTACTAAAATAAAAAATCCAATACGGTAATATTCCAAGAAAACCAACATCAAATGCCATTTCCATTAACCCCAAAAAAACATTTTAAATTAATACACCCTCAAGAAGAATCCCACTGAAAGAAAATGAATCACAAAATCCCTTAGCTTTAATTACTGTATCACTAAAAAGCATTTGCAAACAAAATTTTCAAAACATTTTCAGCTTTCCAAGGCTAACATGCGCTCCAGTTCACAGACTATGGCATGAAGGTGTAACTAATAAAGTAGTTCAACCTTCTGTAACAAAAAGATCACAATTTTGTCTACATTATACTCATTACTGCTAGCTAGTACATACCTTATTTTTAATTCATTAAGTACTGAGTAAGAACTACCTATTCCCTCCATAATTATATTGAAGCAATTACACCTGCATCTTGTTTCTATTTCCCAACACTGGCCATTAGATTTTGTTATCTTTTTGATCAAGGTAGAAGTTATGCCTTATCAAATCTTCCCCCTTACTTCCCCCTTCTCATCTGTGACTAATCTGGAAATAGTGCTTACCACAGGGAAGTGAAAAGGGTACATTCTGTTTAAATTTCATTCCAAAGCAGATGATATTACGGATAGAATAATTCCAGGACTTTGCCAGCTGTACTTCAGAAAGGGCTGTATCAAATATTTTCATATTGCCTCTACTAGAGGCTCACACAGGGCTATCTTCAAAGAAAGCTTCACAAGTTATTTCAACTTTTCATAAATTACAAAGTTGTTTCCAAGGCAATTGGACATTACTTCCTGCAATTTTAGAGAAGGAAATACAGCAGGACAAAACCCTGGTCATATGGCAAGCAAGCTGAAGGGAACCCATCCTCTACAATGCCCTTCCTACAGACCCTTCTAGGGGCGTGTTTTCTTTTGGGGCACTGGGAGAACTTCCATAAACAACAGCTCGTCTCGTTACTGGATGTTATCAGGTATGCAGTCACACAGAAAAAGCCTGCTTCCACGTCACTGCACTTTCTGAAGAGAACATCTGCAGAACAATGGTGGAAGATGCATTTGCAGAAGCCACCCTGTGGCTAGCACCACTTGTGCAAGTGGCATTCCTAACGTCACCTGGAAAGCAGTCTACCTGTGAGCAAGTTATTCCAGATCTGGAGTTCTTGGTGATTACTTTTTAAACAGGAGACTGGACCAGACCAGTTCAAATCAGAGCTGGTCAGATGATGAGCTGCAGTACAAGTCTTTCTGTGCCCTGTGCTGCAGAGGTACAGGATGGCAGCAGCACCCCCAGCCAGCAAGGGCTACCCCAAAACCTGGCAGATGGTTGCTTCTCCACTTCCATGCTGTTCATCTTAGCACTTCGCACTTGATTTATCAGTTTTCATTTAAAATACAGTATTAAGTCTCAAAAGCTGGAGGACAATCTCTGCTGAAGGAATGTCTGAAAGCACAAAGGAAACTTTGTCCCAGTTGGGCCCAGTTCCAGATATGAAATGCAGATTTTTAAAGCCAAGGCATGGCTTCGTTCTTGAAGGGAAAGGAAACCTAGGCTCTGCATGCGTAACTGAGCTTCACAGTGTAAACAGAAAACGTTCTTCAAACAATACATAATTAAGGTTCTGCAAGCAAGATGTATATCCTGTGAGCTGAGGGAATTAGACAGCATCATGCCCCAGCACACTCAATAAAAGCTGTATTTATTCCTGGAAATATTCTGATTGTATGACTTCTGTCATCTCATTTTATAGCCCTGTCAGAGACGCTAGCTATCTCCGCTCCACTGGCAACCACAGAACTGTGACTCTTTTGGAGACTTTTATGAGTAAGTTTAGTAAGGTCCTAAAGCCTTTTTCTTGCTTCTGCCTGTAGTTCTAATCCAGGTAACTAGCTCAGAGAGACAGAGCCATATGGACGCCAGGTACCCAAAATCTAGAATAGGATCAGATTCCCTCATCCAGTCCTGAAGTGCCTGCAGTGTTGGTACCCAGACCCCCTTTAGTCACCTCAGACTTTTACATGCAACCACATTTACAGTGCAACCCACCTGATCAAATCAAAACACTAAGAAGTAGGTGCCTACACAGGAAACCAGTTCCAATGGAGATATTTATGTTGTAGACTTTGACATTTAGTCAGACGAATCTCACCAAAAGTTGCTGATGACCTACTCTAAATTACAGTGGATTCCTCGGAGTATCAAAGCTGCTGCTCCTCACACAGCTTGAAAGCTGCTGCTCAACTACTAATGTACATGAAAGCACATACTACTGTGTATAAACGTTAATCTAATTCTAGTAATTCCACATTTATCATTGCACTAATATAGCACATGCATAATTCATACATAATTCATAATTCAAAATTCATACATGACAAATGAGCTGCTGGAAAAAAACAACTCAGAAGACCTGAGGTTGCAGGATAAGTCATACTCCACAGCATGGCTGTTTCAAATAATTACATAAGAAATTAAAACTGTCAAAACACATTGTAGCACCAAGTCAGAATTAACATTATAAAGGAAATCCTTTGTAAAAAAGAAAAACAAAGAAAACAAAAAAACACATTGGTTTTCTCCTGAGGTGAGTGCTTAACTAAGCAACTTCTTTTTACTTCAGAGTTTGTTTTTTTTAAAGCATAATGCATTCAGAAAATTCAAGAAGATAGTAATTCATATACGAAGCTTATTCTTCTGGTTAGCAGTAACCAGAGGATAAGACACCTCAAACATTTTTAAAATATCAAGAAATTGTATGAGTGAATTCCAAGTTAATGTGAAAGACAAAACACACTGGTATTTTTCTTTTTAAATATTTGACTATAGGCTGGAATTCACCTGTGAGTAGCAGCTGCACTTGTGTAAAGTAAACTTAATACCTGCAAATTGCAAGCAGATTGCCCAGGCACACACTGCACTATACTCACATGAAGTGTCAGAGCAAGAGGAAATTTGGCAAATCAACATTTTAGCTTGATAGAACAGATAATAAAAGCATGGAATACATTATGAGGTTTAGACTGTAACCTAGCAAAGGAAGCAATGTAAGTCATTCTGTGTGAAAAAAAACAAACAAACCAACCCCACATTAGAAAAGGACAGCTCATTAAAATTATTTCAGTGGTTGATACCGGATGCCATGGTTAGTTTGTGACGGCTAAATTAGCTTAAGAGCTGCTAGTCCCTGAAGAGAGACAAAACATGCCATACAGTACAGTTTTGTCTAGCTAGTGCAATAGAACTCACCTGTGGTTTGATCCACAAGCACACGTGAGTTGATGATGCGTCCAAAACGTGAAAACATATCTTCTACATCTTTTTGCGTCATTGACCTCGGTAGTCCACTAATATATAAATTAGCATCCTTGATAACTTCAGAACTTGGACGAGCATAGGAAACCTTAAAAAAGGTTAATAATTAAATGAGGATACATTCAGGGTTTAAATTGAAAGAGTAGCTTATTTTGTCATAAGTCGCTTGTATTTATTCCTCACTAAACAACACAAGCATTTTTTATTGTAGTTCAGAAGAGGTAAATGGGTAGAGGAAAATTACCAGAAGGGAAAGAAAAATCATGCTCCTATACAACTCCATTGCTCTTAGGTTCATCCGACAGATAAACAAAAAAACAGCACTGCTATAAAAAGCCAGCAATAGACCAGTGTTTCCAACATACCCGTTATGTTGAAGAATCCCTGTCCAAAGTTCGGAATTCAATAGTGGACCTATCAGTTACCACAGCTCACACCAAGAACTTGTGCAGTCAGTCTATTTTTTGAGTCAGAAAATTTATCAGCTGCAGTGCAGCTTTCTACCTTAATTTCTGCTAATAGAGAAAGTTACAAAAATGATTTAAGCAGGCATGGTTTCCTGGGCATAAAGTACCGTTATATCCAAGAAGGAGTGCACGTGTATTAACAATTTAAAACAGATCGACTTTGAGACATAAGAATTCATTCCAAGTCATTGTTAGGCTTTTGATCTTGGGTACTTCTATTATAATGGTGAGAACAACAACAAAAAAAAAAACAAAAAACACAAAACCCAAAAAAAGCAATCTTTAAATACCAAGCCGTTACAAAACCCAAGTGACATAACAGCTCATTTCACTACTCTGCTCCCACAGTCGGTCTGTCTTGCAGCTGGACAGCACACAGAACTCACCACCAGAACGAACAAGCACTCTAAACAGATTATAAGTTTATTACAGTGTCATTTTCACAGAAAGCTGAAAAATCTCTACATCCTACCTTGATAGTTTTTGACTGAAGTCTGAGGCCATTCAGCGTGTTTATTGCTCGTTCAGCATCTTTTGCAGTAACGTAGTTCACAAAGCCATAGCCTAAGCTGTGTCCTACACAGAAGAACAGTTTTTAAATTAATCCTTACACAAGAAGGTTATCACTACCAAAACTGAAGGAAGTGAAAGCAAAAAAAATGAACATAATCCATCCAGTAAATACTTAATATGCTACAGAACTTTCAGATGATGCACGCCAACCTCGAGAAACAACTCAAGGCTACTTCAAACATCCTCAAGAACATTTTATCTCAGATGGCTGCAGACCGTCCATCAGCAGTAGAAAAATCAGATCTGAACTCTTGTACTGACTCTTGTCTCATGAACTTAATGTAGATATAACAAAGACATGAATTTAAGCCAAGTTCACAAATAGAAGCTCTTGTATACAAAGAACAGAAAGCAAAAAATATGAACTGATGAACCCCTGGGTATGAAGTCATCATACTACACGTTTCTTTGTAGCTATTTCAACTCCTGGAGACCACAGGAAGGGTTTTATTTCTTCATACATTCATATAGCTAATAAGCAGTAAGCATCCCAAGCACAGGATAAAGCTGAAAAGTGAAAAAAGTATCTTCAATGCAGATACTTCACGTACTTGAAGTTTACCTTAAGGCTTACAAAAAAAAAAAAAAATAGTAATAGCACAACTTTAAAACATTTAAGGCAAAGGACACTTAATTGGATATTTGTTTGTTCTGCTTCCGTATATTCAACCTCCACAAATGCTCCTATCAGTTATAACAGTACATAAAGTCACTCCAGGTTGCAGTTTCCCAACCGTTAGAGGCTATCTTATCACTGCAGGCCTAAAAATAACTAAAATCCTTTCTGACTGTCTTGGCACCTCCCATCCAAGAGATGTTCCTTGTTCAGACTCCTCCTAGCCCGACCTACAGAATGAGTGAGAGAAAACTAGGTGTGCAGAGGAGAACATGTTATTTTACTGTAATACTATATTACTGCTATCTTATTTACAGCTCCACTGATAGGCTTGAGAACAGTAGAAAACGTGGCTAAACATCAGAGTAAAGCATTCTCTTCTGAAATACAGCCCTTTTTGATTACATGGCATGGCTCCACAACAGTCACAGCTGCCAAGGCAGTTTCCTTTTGCCTTCCAGACATTTCAGAACACCAGATCTACAAAGATGAGTCGTGGTGACATCCTAGCACGAAATCTCAGAGTAACTGAAGATAAACCCCCTCTGAAAGAAGACTCATCAGCCCTCAATCAATACCCCAGTAGCCTATCAATACCTTGTGGGTATTGAGCCCTACCAGCCTATAAGCAGCACGGGACGGAAGGAGGCTCCAAATAACCTTCTGCACGTTGTTACCAACAGCACACGGGGCAGACGGAGTGCAGCTGGAACAGCACAACTGCCTGGCACGTCCCGAGTTCACCTGCTTTGTTGTGAAATGTAATATGCCACTAACTCATCGAAACCCAAATAACGTCGCAGCCTGTTTCTTAATACACTTGTTGTATAAACAGTCCCAGTTAATTTTTACCGCCTGCTGAAGCTCTTAAAAGAAGCCAGATCCACTTCACGGTCACGCCTCCTAGAGGAACGACATCCTGGTCTTTGACAAGGCATTAAAACATCGCCACTAGCACACACCAAGCTTTTATAATACCAGGCACTTCTGTACAATTGCAAGAGCAAATTAATCTTTGATAGCCAAGTACAATTTAATTCTACTTAGGAAACGAATAGAATGAAAGATCTTTGACAACATCTTCTGTACCCTTACCTTTCAAAGAGCTACAGATGACAGTGGCTAATAGAACAGAAAATGCATATTATTAAGAAAACAACAAAAAAGCACGCAGGTAAAAGTGAGATACTGCTGTAAAACCGCAGAGATGGTCAATCATTTAGATAAAGTGTGGTTAGCCTGGCTAGTGAGGTCCTAGCAAAGATTTTGGAGACAGGCCCTTAAAGATCAGGGATAGCAGACCTAGCCACCCTCTCCTGGCAGGGTGAAGGCAGGAGCCCGTGCAGCGTGGATTTGTTAAGCTGTCCTTAGTGCTCCGGGTCACAGAGCCCAGGGGCTCGGTGTTCTGGCCAGCAGAAGTGAACGTCCTTCCCCATTTTCCTGGGTAAGTCCCCAGAGAACAGCACAGGCAGGCCCTCTCTTGCAGAGCCTCAGCCTGCCTGTATGTTTATGCACCGTTCGAGATCAGTGACACGGAAGATTAAGCTACTTAGTTTTGTTTTTATCCCGTATATACGCGTTCATAGATACGCAGAACTGAAAGAGGACCAAAGGATTTGGGTCAAGCCCTTGCAATCACACGCTGTCCGTATTCCCCTTCCCTAAAAAGGGAGCTTCACGTGAGCAGTTAGGTTTTTGTCCCGAGGACTCTGATTGAAAGCACGATCTGGAAATCCCTCCTCTAATGCTCTCCTTTTCTACAAGTTGGCCTGAGTTTATCCCCACCTCACTTATAGCCACTTGTTCTTGTGCAAGTACCATCCTTTCACTTACACATTTCATTACTCTTTCAACTGTCTGGTTCCCAAAATACTCACTCAGGGACCATAACCCCCTCAACCTTCTGTCTTGGTTTCACCTGAGCCAAAATTGTCCTTTTCCACTTCCCATTTTATACAGTGGCTATTTGTATCAGAGTTTGAATGCCCTGGGAAAAGAGGGCAGGGATGGAATGGGGTTAACAAACAAACGTAGATAAAACAGCAGGGGCTGAGAAGGCATCTAGCAGATGGCAGGATTACAACTAAGAGTTTCTCATATCCCCAGTGGTTACAGTCTCACTAACTTCTTAGTCACTAGATAAGAAAGCACCTATTACCTATCATCCCCTACAAGGGCTAGGATACTGACCCTCCCCTCTTCCTCTATATTTACCACCTTTAAATGACATCAATGGAATGTGATTTTTCAGTCCTGAAGTGTTAGAAAAGCCAGCCTACACAAAACTGACTCCAGCTACCAACTTACCAGCCTCAGCCATCTCCTGCCATTCAGGCCTTGCTTTTGATCTCCAACCAGGCTGGATCTCACCCAGGACACCAAGAGGCACATTCCAGATCTCGAGGGGCACGTTCCGTACCTCAACGCATCGCTCCTCAGGAACACCGTCTGCTTCGTAATTGTGCAACGCATTCCCACCTCCTAAGAGCACGAACTAGCCTCCTTCAGGGTATGCCAGAAAAAATAAGGGACTGGCATTTACACAACATAATGATTTATGTCAAGTGTTTGTCTCAGGCAAGGCGACGTTATTTGCTTTACCACAACATTAACAGCCTCCTAGAAACCTATTGTGCAAAAGAAAGCAATTCCATAACATTTCTCAATCTATTTTTAGTGGATAGTAATATAAAAAAAACACTTTTGCTTTTACATAAAATGTAAATCTACTCAAGAGACCAAAAAAAAAGCAAACAAGCAGGCCCTTATCTGGATGAATAAATTAACAAAGTGATCAAGAAATCTCGTTTTAAACAAACTGCCATACTCCTTCAGGATAAAGAATCTAGTTTTGTTCCCGTGATAAGAAGCCCTTTCATGAAAGAGGGCACTCATTTTCTTTCTGCGCGTCACTTGGGTTTCTGTCCATGTCCTTGCTTCCTTTCCCTGCTGCCTCAGACACACGCCTTCAGTCCCTAGGTCGTTTCTCATTCCCCTCCTGCTATGGGCTGACAACTCCGGTTTCACTGGAGCCCAGTACGAGAACAGAGCTGGTGCTTGTCTTCCTCCCCGCTGCACAGCGGCTGCCCCTCAAAGCAGCAGCCCCGGATTCTCCCCATCCTGCCCTCCTCAAGGAAGCCGAGATGTAAACCTGGCCTCACTACACCAGAGTGCTTTGGCACCAAGGCATTTCAGTTCTGAATTTGTTTTCTGAACTGAGAAACTCTTGCTAACCCATGCAGTCTTGTGAGATTACATAAATAAATAAAAAGCCCAGTAAACAACGCAGGAGGATGGAAGAGATGCTCCCAAGACGTCACTGAGGAGCACGGGGTGTCTTGGGAACAGTCAGGTTTTTTGTTTGCTGCTGCAAAACATGCTGTGAGCTGTAAGCTGAAATATGCACGAACGCATCGAGCACTGCCTCGTCTGAATGCAGGCATCGGTGGGCTGAAATGCACAACTCTCAGCGGTGGCTCCGCAGCTTCAGAAGATGCGAACAGCTAAAAGTGCACTGCACGAGCTTGCTTCTGTACACTTACACACACATCAAACTAGAGAAAAACGTGAGCACACCTGCATCAAGCTTCAGGAAAGAAGTCCTGCCAATGCAGAGGTAGAGCAAGGTAGGATTGGCAGAGCGGGTGACCACAAGGTTATCCTAACCCCCAGGACAAGCGGTGCTGTGCACATTGCACTGCCCTGCACTAGGTCCACGTGCCAGCTCCTGCTGTGAAAGAGCATGTGCTAGCAACTCGAAATCCGGTGACAGAAAATAGCAGCTGGGCTTCCCTCTGCAGCAGTGCATTCCTCTGCTTTGTCAGGTCAACCTAAAAAGGCATTCAGTTCTAGAAATGCAATTCCTAAAAATTAAAAATAAGCCATTTCAAAACAAAGCTAACAGATTCTCTCTGAACACTGCAGAAACTAGAAGGGGTTTCAATATAAAAGGGATCGGATACGATACATCTTCCATCTGCTTCTTCCCCCAGTTTTATGTCCTTCGCACACAAAAGGCACCTGCTGGACACCGGCACAACACAACGAGCTCTGAAGCCGCTCTTAAAATGCTACAACCTCACGTGGCAGTGCTTGTTTTTACTTGGCTGACTTCTGCTGTTAAGATTCACTTAAAAGACAGACACTAAGAGGTACACGTCTGTACTTCACAGGGTATTGCCACGGTTTGCACCTGAGCACCTTACTTCCTCCTACCTGGAAAGGCCCCGGAGACAAGGAACTGCCTGAAGCCATGGGAGCTTAAACCTGGAGTCAGGCCACCGTTTCTGAACAGTGTTAAGTTATAACAGATTCTGTTAAGTTATAACAGGCTGCTGTCAGTTTTGACACTTTTATGTACACCTGTGCTAACAAGAAAATAAAACAG